CTTCGATACACCTCACAGAATATGGGAGGAAAGAACAAACCAAAAAATCTTCTCGGCAACATGGGTTTCAGGTCAAAGCGGCGTCGAAAGGCTGCCACTCCCCCTAAGATCACTCCTCAACAAGCCCAATCGATCTCGGCTTCTCTCGGCATCACTAACCAGCCTGTTCACGGTTCGAATGCAAATCTCAAGGACTCACTCAATGATCCCGTATTGGCTCAATACATGCCTTTTCCGTACCAACCAGAACCCTCTACTCCTCCGATCCCTGACGATGCCGATCACTTTGCTCAAGAAAGTCGTGAATATTGGAAAGAAGAGGCTCGAAGACGTCAAAAACTTCAGTGGAAAGAAATTGAAGTTCCGATGACTGCTACTTATCTAGAACTTCAGCATAAAACAAGGAATTGGACTTCTGAAGCCTCGTACCTCGATCAAAATATACACTGTCAATGCTCCGATTCTGAACTCACATTGCAACCCCTTGATCTTATCGACATCTTAGGATTTCACAGCAAAACCTATATTTCTTTCTGTGTGTGCATGCCCAAACCTGTACGCCTTCTACACCATGGATACATATCAAGCTCGCCTCAATCTCCACAGACAGCCTTCTCAGTACGGGTCCTCCAATTTCATCATCAACTTTGGAATACGACTACGATTTCAAGTACCGGATTCATCAATGGATTAATGTCATTTCTCAATCTACGAAGCAAAACCAACCTGAAACCTCAATCTTATAAATACCGATCACTGATTCATGAACGCGATCTCAGAAGACAATTCTCCAACTCAGTCAACATGTATCGATCAATCATGCTCTGTATGAAGAAAATTTATAACGAAGGCCTCACACTTTCAAACGCTCAACTATTGGCTGATCGCTGTGGTAGATGTTTTGGACCAGCAATTAATGAAGAACATTTACCTCAAGAGCCACATGTTATTGTTGCTTTAGATGGTAATTTTCAACATAGGCATTACACCCAGTCAAGCAAAGATAATCCTACCGAAGACGAGTATCCGGAGATTTTTATAAAACCGTCTGATATGAAAAAGCACGAGATTCTTCAGCATTCGACCGAAGCCCAAGCCAAGAACATTAAGGTAGGAATTACAAATTAATCTTACATCAAAACTTATAGCTAACTCAATTTTAATTTAGAATCCCTGCTCTGACTCTCACACCGCAGCAAACGATGTGAGGAACTCAACCTCATGGAAAAGAAGTGATGATACCGGTCTCTTTGGATGTACTTGCCGCCACGATGTGCCCTTGAAGTTAGCCAATATCTACAAAACGGGTGAAAAGTAAGTGATATAATTTCACTTGACATATTCCAATATCTCAACGTTAATTTCTGGTTTTGATACTTGTCTGCAGGCTTTACTATCCATTGAGTATCCTTGATCAATTGTTGCGGGATTTGCCAGATATCATAATAGGAGTTCTATATGACATCGGGTGTCAGCTTGACGCACATATAAAAAAGGCAAGTGATTTCATAATATACCAACCTTTCAAGCTTAATACTAATGCCATTTTGTCTAAAGAGAAACTTCTTTGAACAAATTGCAGATAGACTTAAATTTGGCACATCGGTTTTTCACGCTTATGTACATAACTGGGCATGTCAAGTACTCTACAACCCGCGCTTCAACAATTTTTGGGGATTGACAGATGGTGAAGGACTCGAACGGTTCTGGTCGTTCTTATCTTTATTGGTAGCGGTGAATCGCATATCCACACGACTCCATCGACTTCTCAACATAAATTGGCGGGCCGACTATTTTATGGAAATCACTTTGAAAACAACAGGTATGTAGATTTTAGCGTATTTGATTAGCCTGATCAGAAGCTGATTCTGATTTGATGCAGCTGATTGGCTTTTACGCCACCTACGCAATGCTAATACTGTATTACGTGACACTCGGAACGCCCTGTCCAAATTATCAAGGGAGAAAAGTTCACTATTCCCCACAATCTGCTATACTTACGAGTTCCTGCGTGAACAATGGATCATGGAGCGCAACTCTCAAAACAAGAGATGTCATATTCAAGACGAACAAAAAATCGAACTTGGTCGATTACTATGCTTAGAAGAGATGGCTCAAGAAATCTGGTGAATAGTGTCAATTAAATTTTCAGTTCAAAAAAGGCAAGCTTACATTTCAATGGATTGAATTAAGGGATCGAGATGCGCATGATGTCGATGAAGCCATTTCCAGGCTCAATGAACACAGCAAAATCAAGCAAAAGATTGAAAAACAACGTTCGAAGATCGGTTCTGAAGCGATCTTGAACAATCTGAATGGTAAACAATTACATTTATATCTTAGACCGAGTAATTATCGTGCTCACCTGCCTTTTTTTGGACTGCAGCACAAGAACAAGACCAGATTTTGAAAATATGGTATGCAAAGCAAGAAGTTCGTAATCAGTTTGTGGCTATTTGTGAGCAGAAACGGCCACTGGAGGTTAGCCGACGCGATGGGAAGAATTCCAGCATCGGTAAGTGACTCATTATTCTAACATTGCTTCTTTCAGCTTTTATTTCCAACTGATCATATGGGTTTCATCAATGCGCAGGTTACAATGACAAAACTCACTTGCTTAAGTCACTCCGCGACCAGGCCGCGAAATTGAAGACAAAACTGGAGATCTATCAGAAGCTGGTAGTATCGTATTCTACCACTTCTCCACATCAATCACAACCGCCAAGCATCTCCTACCTCGACCTTCTCAAAATCGACTTTGATCACTCGTTTTGGAACGATGGCCTCTTTACCAACGGACGTGAGCCTTGGGCAGTCGATGCTAACACACAGCACGGAATGCGCCAGGTTGCATACTATGATCGAGCCAATGAAGAGATCCGTCGATTGGGGTGGGAAGTTAGAAGAGTGATGCGATGGTCGATTGATTTGCACAATACCCTATCAACTCATCTTTGCCGACTTCAGGCACAGGGTCCTCCTGAGGAAGATCACCTTCCACTGGTTGATCATCCGGCTTTTAAATCGCTTAGCAGTGCTGGTAAGATCAAAGCTTCATGTATCATCTTGAATGAAAGGCTAGTGCGAATATTCAACTTGCAAGCTGACTGGAACAAGTGTCTGGGTGAGGTACTTCATAACACGCCATCGCAAGAAGGCGACATCGAT